CCCGGTACCTTGGGCTCCACTCAACCAGTGTGTCTCTAATTTGACACACTTGGAAGTATCGCTCCCCTCACCATTGAGGGTTACTATGAGCATGCTGCTTCCTATCGAGCGACTGGGTTCGCTCCGTGGGCTGCTCTCGTGGTAATATTAGAAGTGCTCCCATTTTTCCAAAGTGTTGCCTATGAGCGCGCTATTCTTTCTGAATTCGGAGTTCTCCTCTCACGTGAGAGTTGAGTTCTCTGTTTTTTCCAGAGCACCTGGAGCCAGCAGCATCAGGTGAATATAGGCCCTTCACTCCGCCTCTCTGATGCGCTGGATTTTTTGGCTAGCTTGCAGTACGCTTACCCTCTGATTTCTAATTACTGCTAGCCATTCCAGCTTTATATCTTAGATCGAGTTGGTGACTCTGAAACATATTGGGTTTGGTGTGCACCATTCCATCTATGAGCTGCTCTTTCAGAGTGCCACGAGAGCCCCTTAGAACGGTATCCTAAAATACGTGTTATGGTAAGTGTGCACGTGAAGGCTTTGTGCACTTTCTAAAATCCACATTGTGGTAAGTTCGCATGCTAGTTCTTTTCTAAAATCCTCTATTTGGTGAGGGCGTCGCGCAGTTGCTTCATGCCCTTTCTTGAGCTGGTTTAAGCCCCGTTCACCTTACTGCATCCTCTAGGCTTCCTGCCATGCTTTGAACGCAAGCTTCAGACGAAGAAGTGAATGACATGTTCTCCCGGCGCCTATTTATACTAATAGTCGCACCTGTAGTGACGTCATGGGCTGTCGCCGGCCAACGTGTTGTTGGTGTTTTTTCAATGTATGCTTCAGACACGTGTCACGACGAGGCGTTCCCCATAGCGACCCCTAGAGGACGCAGTGTCTTGTTCCCTACTCAGGGAACCATGGTTACATAAGTAACCTGAGACGATTTCAAGAACATTTATCAATCAGCAATAACATAATCTGACAGCAGTTATACGATGATTCTCTCATCCAGGCTCTTTCTACTGTAACCCAGCTAACACAAATATGTGTTGAGAGCGTTCCCGTTAAGTTATGAAAACCTTATGTTCTCTGAATGTTCAAAATATCATTTTTAAAAAGTTTTAAAAACATTGTGTGAAGGGAGTATTTATGGAAGCCCGTTTCCGGCACTGAATAAAAAACAAAAAAAGGTTATTACTTTTTTTTCTCGCAATTCTGATTTTTTTCTCGCAATTCTGACTTTTTTCTTGCAATTCGGATTTTTTTTTTCACAATTCAGACTTTTTTTCGCAATTCAGACTTTTTTTCCTCACAATTCAGACTTTTTTCTCGCAATTCAGACTTTTTCTCGCAATTCAGACTTTTTTCTCGCAGTTCGTGCTTTTTTGTCGCAATTCGTACTTTTTTCTCACAATTCTGATTTTTTTCTTGCAATTGAGACTTTTTTCTCTCAATTCAGACTTTTTTCTCGCAATTCAGACTTTTTCTCACAATTCAGACTTTTTTCTCACAATTCGGACTTTTTTCTCGCAATTCAGACTTTTTTCTCGCAATTCAGACTTTTTCTCGCAATTCGGACTTTTTTCTCGCAATTCGGACTTCTCACAATTCAGACTTTTTTCTCGCAGTTCGTGCTTTTTTGTCGCAATTCGTACTTTTTTCTCGCAATTCTGATTTTTTTCTTGCAATTGAGACTTTTTTCTCGCAATTCAGACTTTTTTCTCGCAATTCAGACTTTTTCTCGCAATTCGGACTTTCTTCTCGCAATTCGGACTTTTTTCTCGCAATTCGGACTTTTTTCTCGCAATTCCGACTTTTTTTCTCGTAATTCTGACTTTTTTCTCGCAATTCAGACTTTTTCTCGCAATTCAGACTTTTTTCTCGCAATTCGTGCTTTTTTCTCGCAATTCGGTGACTTTTTTCTCGCAATTCTGACTTTTTTTCCCGCAATTCTTTTTTCTCGCAATTCGGACTTTCTTCTCGCAATTCGGACTTTTTTCTCGCAATTCGGACTTTTTTCTCGCAATTCAGACTTTTTTTCCTCACAATTCTGACTTTTTTCTCGCAATTCTGACTTTTTTTCCCGCAATTCTGACTTTAAAACTCGCAGCTGTGTGATATAAAGTTGCAATTCCGAGAAAAAAGTCACAATTGCAAGTTTTTATCTTGCAATTGTCACTTTTTTTTCTTGCAATTCTGACTTTATAATTCGCAGCTGTGTGATATAAAGTCGCAATTGCGAGTTATAAAGTCAGAATTGCAAGAAAAAAAAGTGACAATTGTAAGATAAAAACTTGCAATTCTGAATTTTTTCTCGGAATTGCGACTTTATATCACGTAATTCTGACTTTAAAACTCGCAATTGTGAGTTTATTTCTCGGAATTGCAAGTCTATATCTCACAATTCTGAGAAAAAAAGTCTGATTTGTGAGATAAAGTCACAATTGCCTTTTTTTATTTCTTTTTATTCAGTGGCGGGAATGGTCTTCCATAAATATTCCATTATATCAAGTTGCAAAAATCCCGGGAACGTTACTCTTGAATGTTCTCTGAAACAAGTAACATTTCAGACATTTATTTTCAGAAATAAAACATTTCATGAGAAATTGAATAAATAATGTTTTTATGGTAACATTTCGAGCACAAAGAGCAGGTCGTTCTGAATGAAGGTTCTATTATTGTTTTGGAAGAATGAGCCCTCAACACTAGATTTATTCACACTTGCGTCAATCTAAACCTGGATGCTTTATTTCTTTAAGGAGATGCTGATCACTGTCAATAAAGCATCATAACAGCAGTTCATGTGATTCATATGATGCTTCATATTCCACATCTTTTAAAGCCACATGAGAGTCAAATCCTCATCTCTTTTATCAGTCTCATGCTTTTCAATCATCTGATGAAAGTCTTTGACTGAAGCCTTATTTGTGTTATTTAATACAATTCTGGGTTAAACTTTACAATAAGGTTCCATTTTTAAACATTAGATAAATAAACCAACTTATTAATCTTATGTCATGTGATTGTCAGCATTAACAAATACATTATTAAAATCAAATGTATCTGTTATATTATTTAATTGCCCTGAGCAAATATGAGCAAACTAACATGTGGCAAAACTTGGTATTTGACAGTATTTTTGTCTGGTTTTCCAGTACAAATATCTAAGCATCTTTAAATCAAGATATATTCTAATAATAATAAATACATTTAATTCAATGAAAATTATTTTGCCAATGGGGACAGAAAAATAAACTTAAATCAAAAGGAAAACAAGATTATTTTTCCAGACCCCACAGGAAAATATATGTTCTTGTATTAAGAATAAATCCGCTTAATTTTAATACATTTTTCAGAAATTACGACTTAATATCTTAAGTCATCTTGCATCTGAAGTATATATATGCAGTGCATTGAACAGTTATGTTTAAGTAATGTTCAACTGTAACAAATTTCGTAACGTTGTGCATTAACTAATGTTAACTAACGGGACCTTAATGTAATTTTTGATATAAATGATATAAATATAACACTTTACGTAAAGCCTTTATATATATTTAATGCTTTATAAAAGTGTTTTTAATGCATTAATTATGCCTTATTTAATGATCTCATGAATAATTAAAACCACAGTTATAATGCATTATAACACTTATCTATTCATTGTTACATCTTTAGAAAGTACAATGCATTAAAACTCACAACAAGCAAACCTTCAAATATTACAATGCATTTTTGGTTACAATTATTTATAAAAAGTATAATGCATTACAACATACCTTTATAATGCACGATACATTAAGACCTAGGTAAAGTGTTACTTATTTCACTTTATAAACCTGTGTGAGATTTTCAACATGGACATTTAGCAAGATTTAACAAGGACAGTTAAACAAATTCATGATCTAAAAGAACTCTTGAGTGGTATACATATAATATAGTGAGTTATGAGCAAGCAGACGTTTGTTGATCCATACAGTATATTTGATCATGTACAATATGAACTCAAGAACCAGTACAAGATGATTGTCCTGAATAAATATCACAGCACACCTCCAATATTTACAGTATAAACAAACAATATTAAAAACACGATAGAAGCAAAGGAACGGATGCGTGATGAGCGAGCGATGACGAGCTTTGGATCGATGATGATGATGATGATGATGATCACGGCTGTGACCTCATTCCTCCGAATCTTATGAGATTTCATATGTTACACAATTTACAGCAAAACACACTCGCGTTGCATTCAACAACCAATCGGGTTTATACAGCAGAAGCGTTTCAGCCAATCACAGCACACTCGCCTCATTAATATGTAAATTAGGCTCATTATAGTATTCATGAGGATCCGCTGCGTCGTGCAAATCTGTGTTCGGCAGGAATCTTGTGAATTCCTTCAGTTGAAGGAAGGAGTCTCTTAGCATCAGGGAAAAGGAACGAAAATCTACTCTTTACAGGCTTGATGCATCCAGACACAAGAAGTTTCATTGTGAAGAAATACAAGCCGACTGTGCACACACACACACACACACACACACACACACTCACTCAC